CTCGTTTGCTAACCGATAACCGTGAAAGGTGACCACTCAAAGATCGTCATGTATACGAACAACAATCTAAGACGATAAGAAGGGAAACTTACCCGGCTACATCGGAGGGAGCCATCAGCAAATGTTTTCGCCAACCGCGTTGAATAGCAACATTTCGACAGGTCCCGGTGGGTGCTGAAAATGAATGCGGATTGCAGGATCCCGACAAACCACCGGACTCCAAAGTCACCGTGCCGTTGTGTCCAGCACGACCGGGTTGTTGGGCACCGCAAGACAAACAAAGATCCGGATCACATTCACGCACAGCGAGCAAGCACGGGCAAAGCTTTGTGTTGCATTGTCCCCGACAACGACAACCGAGGAATCTACTCCCGCAACAAAAAATAGTAAGACGAATTTATAGTGCGATATGTAACTTGACTATATAATTATGACGCAAAACCTAAAGTGCAGATGAACGGAGGTCAAACATGTGTTGCATCCAAACACCAGACGTCACTGTAAACATAACTAGTACTGTTCCTGTTGGTTATCATGCTCAATGCGATATGACCAGGTGCTACAAAAAATGAGATCGTACATGAACCACGACAGATGAGATGGTGGGTGCACACGTTCAATATGTGATCACGAGTGTAGGTGCCGAGGAAAAGATTATAGAAAAACTCACCGATTCGAGCAATCTACCGGGCACTGACAGAATTTCTCACAGAACGTTCCAGCCTGACGACACGTGCATGAATCATCACACCTACGCCCTGGATGATCGCATGGGTGATACTGGTGCGCAAAACAGCCGTGGTTAACTGTTCCACCAGCACCGTTAAGACTGCTGCCGTTTCCCCGTTGATCCCCTGCGTCATCTTCATCTGTGAGATAGTTAATAATGGGGGAAACTAAAATACGTTAAACGATGATCGACAGTATAAAGAACTAAGTGTGATGCAGCAATTGACGATATGGGCATTAGATGGTAATTTCACGTGGAATCCCAGTGACCGACGCTTCCTCGACAGTGCTTGTCATATATGTCACAAAATGGGTTATACTTACCGAGACGACGCGGACCAAGGAACATGTTTTTGCGCAAGCGACGTCGGCGGGACCGTTTGCGTCGCATGGCATGTGCCGCATGAAATGTGAATACATCACGCGGAACTTGCTCACATGTATTCTCACGCGAATCGGCTGACAAGCAACCTTGATTACCCTTGTTCTCGGGATTCTTTTGGAGGGAGTTATTTGCGGAGGTGTCGACCGCGTTGGAAGCGTCGTTCAGTGAACAGGAACTTGCCGATCGCTTTGTCCATTCCAATCCCACACCGGGAATGCGGAGTTGAGACAGTTGGCCTGGATCCGGGACCAGTAGTGATGGAATCGGTCGTGACGTTGTGTAATTTAGAATCTACAGAGCATAGATATTAAAAAAATCCGACGTATCAAAACCAAATAAATAAGACGGTCGATGAAGTCAGAAAGTATAGTGTCGCATCATTCCAACGAAACAGCGTCAAGGTTTCGACGGGGAAAAAACTGTGAATGATGAAATCAACTAACCTCCAAACAGTTTTTTGTGCCCAATAAACGAGCTAAGGTGCAGCACCAAGCGTACTGCGTATAGAGGGCATGACTGACAGGCAAGTAGAATGGAGCCAGCACCTGGAACATACTGATCTCAGATGGAGTCCATGTGCTGGTGCGACAGGGACTGCGATGATGAGTAACGGAC